GGGGCCCCCTAGGGGCCCCCGAAGGGCCCCATGGGCCTTCAGGGGCCCCCAGGGGCCCCCAGGGGCTGCAGGCAGTCAGCACTCCCCCAAAAGGCAGTCAAAGGGGGCCCCCGGGGGGCCCCCCTGTTGTGCATGTGCAAGTCTGCGTCGGGCCCCCAGAAAACCCTGGTCTGCAGCAGCAGCAGCCCTGAAGGGGCCCCCGGGGGGCCCCCCGTAGGGGCCCCCCGGGGGGCCCCCGTAGTAGGGGCCCCCCATGTTGCTGCCCAGGGGCGGGGGACTCAAACCCAAAAGGTCATCAGCCACGAGGCCCCCCACAGTCTTCAAAGGATGGTCTACAAGTTGGTGAAGTCTTTGGAGGGGGCCCCCCCATCCGGGGCCCCCGGGGGCCCCCCCCCAGTACCCTGGGGGCCCCCAGCCGTACTGGAGGCCCCGCGCGCTCGGGGCCTCCCCCGCTGCTGCCGCTGCTGCTGCTGCTGCTGCTGCTGCTGCTGCTGCTGCTGGGGGCTCTTCTGGGGGGCCCCCGCGGCTCGGGGGCGCTGCTGCTGCGCTCCGCGGGGGGCCCCCCTGCTGCTGCAGTTCGGTTTGCTGCTGCTGCAGTCCCTGCAGCAGCTCTTCCGCAGTTGAGGGGAGCACGCCGCTGTTCTCTGCGTTCTCCTCGGGGGCCCCCCGCTGCTGCTGCTGCTGCTGCTGCTGCTGCTGCTGCTGCTGCTGCAGGCGCCTGGTGGCTGCTGCTGCAGCAGGCTGGCAGCTCCTCAAGCCTGAGACCAAAGGCTCCGAGTAAGAAGGCTGCGGCTTGAAAACTGCTGCTGCTGCTGCTGCTGCTGCTGCTGCTGGCTGCTGCTGCTCTTTCAAGTAGCACCAGCTGCGGCGCAGGTTGAAGGTGTAGCTGCTGCAGCGCAGCACAGCAGCACAAGCAGCAGCACAAGCAGCAACAGACCCCACAGATCCATCTTCTATTTTCCGGATGTCTTTGCCCACGCTGTCGCTGCCGAATCGCAGGCAGTCCTGCGAGTTCCCGTTTGCTGCTGCTGCTGCTGCTGCTGCTGCTGCTGCTGCTGCTGCTGGGGGCGCTGCTGCTGCTGCTGCGGGGGGGGCTGCTGCTGCTGCTCCGCCGCGTGCGCCTGCTGCTGCAGCAGCTGCCGGCTTTGCTGCGGGGCCTCGCGCTGCTCCGGCGGCTGGGGACCGTCCTGCTGCTGCTGCTGCTGCTGCTGCTGCGGGAGCTGCTGCTGCCCGTGCTGCTGCTACTGCGGGCGCCCGTGCTGCTGCTGCGGGTGCACGCTTTGCTGCTGCGGCCGGTACTGCTGCTGGCGCCCGTGCTGCTGCTGCTGCTGCTGGTGCTGCTGCTGCGGCTTTGGGGGCTGCTGGTGCTGCTGCTGCTGCTCCTTGAGATGGCTGTGCTGCTGCTGGTGCTGCTAGAGCCTCTCCTTCAGCTGCTGCAGCAGGATTAGGGCTTTCTGCTGCTGCTGCTGCTGCTTTTGGCGCTACTGCTTTGTTTGCTGCACCCTGCGCTGCTGCTGCTGCTGCTGCATTTCGTGGTGCTACAGCTGCTGCTGCCCCCTCCTCTGCTGCTGCTGAACTCGCCAGGATCTCTGCTGCTGCTCCTGCTGCTTCCCTTGCAGCAGCAGATGCCTCATCTGCAGCTGCTGCAGCAGCAGCTGCTGCTGCTGCATGCTGGGAGTGAGCGCCAGTTGCCTTTGCTGCTGCTGCGGCAGCTTCTGCAGCACTCGTTGCTGCTGCAGCAGCAGCAGCCGCGCTTGCAGCAGCAGCTGCTGCTGCCCGTTCAGCTCTTTGTACGGAGTCTTCATACTTCTGGTGCATTGCAGGTGTTTTCTGCTGCTGCTGCTGCTGCTGCTGCTGCTGCTGCTCTTGAGGCTGCTGCTGTTTGCGCTGCTGCTCAGGCTGCTGCTGCTCAGACTGCTGCTGTTTCTCCCGCTGCTGCTGCTCAGGCTCCTGCTGCTGCTCTTGATGCTGCTCCTGCTGCTGTTCCTGCTGCTGCTCATGATGCTGCTGCTCCTGCTGCTCTTGCTGCTGCTGCTGCTGCTCAGGCTCCTCCTGCTTCTTAGGCTCCTGCTGCTGCTGCTGCTGTTCAGATTCCTCCCGCTGCTGTTCAGGCTCCTGCTGCTGCTGCTGCTGTTCAGGCTCCTGTTGCTGCTGCCCTTCAGAAGCGTTCTGCTGCTGCTGCTGCTCTTCAGGTTGCTGCTGCTGTTCAGGCGTCTGGTGCTGCTGCTCTTCAGATTGCTGCTGCTGCTGCTGCTGCTCAGGCTCCTGTTGCTGCTGCTCAGCAGGCTGCTGCTGCTTCTGCTCCACGTCAGGCTGCTGTTGCTGCTCCTGCTGCTGCTCCGGCTGCTGCTGCTCCGATTCCTCTTGCGGCTGCTCACGGGGCTGTGGCTCCTGCTCCTGTTCCTGCTGCTGCTGCTGCTGCTGCTGCTGGTACTTTTGCTGGTACTCCTGCTGCTGTTGCTGCTGCGGCTGCTGGTACTTTTGCTGGTACTCCTGCTGCTGCTGCTGCTGGTACTTTTGCTGGTACTCCTGCTGCTGCTGCTGCTGCGGCTGCTGGTACTTTTGTTGGTATTCCTGCTGCTGCTGCTGCTGCGGCCGCTGGTACTTTTGCTGGTATTCCTGCTGCTGCTGCTGCTGCGGCTGCTGGTACTTTTGCTGGTACTCCTGCTGCTGCTGCTGCTGAGGCTGCTGGTACTTTTGCTGGTACTCCTGCTGCTGCTGCTGCTGCGGTTGCTGGTATTTTTCCCGGTACTCCTGCTGCTGCTGCTGCTGCGGTTGCTGGTACTTTTCCTGGTACTCCTGCTGCTGCTGCTGCTGCTGCTGCTGCTGCTGCTGCTGCTGCTGCTGCTGCTGCTGCTGCTGCTGCTCGTTGTACTGGTCAATTCTCTTAACAATTGCTTCCCTGAGCTGCGCAGGGTTTAGCCCCCTTGTGCTAATTTGCTGCTGCAGCAGCTGCAGCACGTCATCTAGCTGCTGGCTGCCAAGAGAAGCAGCAAGACCTTTGCTGATGAGTCCCGTGGCTGCTGCAGCAGCAAGCCTTTCTATTTCAGAGGTCTGCTGCTGCTGCTGCTGCTGCTGCTGCTGCTGCTGCTGCTGCAGGCCGAAGGCAATGGCGGCTATTTCCGCAGTGAGGCGGCTGGGCTCAATGCCCATCTGCTGCAGCTGCTGCTGCTGCTGCTGCTGCTGCAGGTGCAGCAGCAGCTTCAGCACTGCCTCAGGCGTGGGCGAGGCCCCAGTTCGCTGCTCCAAACCCTCCATAACCCGAGCAGCAACCTCGCGAACATCCCTGCAGCAGCAGCAGCAGCAGCAGCAGCAGCAGCAGCAGCAGCAGCAGCATTGAAGGGAGCAGCACGGAGAGTGCCCAGGAAGCGCACGACACCCAGCAGCAGCAGCAGCAGCAGCAGCAGCAGCAGCAGCAGCAAAATCAGTGGGCAGCTTGTAGGGATGAGGGTAGTCCCACACACTCTTGGACTCAGGGGCTAGGGTCTAGGGTCTAGGGTTTAGGGTTTAGGGTTTAGGGTTTAGGGTTTATTGGGCTTACGGGGCGCGAGGTGACCTCGGAGCTGCAGCAGCAGGAGCCCCCAAGGCCGCCTGCAGCAGCAAAAGGGCCACAAGGGGGCCTAGCATTTTAGGCCAAGACAACATGCTGGCGACAAACCCTAAACCCTAAACCCTAAACCCTAAACCCTAAACCCTAAACCCTAAACCCTACACCCTCCACCCTAGAGTGTGGGCGGCACTGTGGCGGCGGAAAGCCAGCCAGAAGGGCCCTTCTCTCTGCCGCAGAAGAGGCTGAGGAAGGGTTTAGGGTTTAGGGTTTAGGGTTTAGGGTTTAGGGTCTGGGCTGCCAGGAGCTGACAGATAGACAACCAGCGTAAACCCCAAACCCTAAAAGAGGGAATAGTTGGGTGGTTAGGGGTTTGCGTGTAAATTGGAAAAAGAACAAAGTTGAAAGACAATGATGTGGCGACCCACAGAAATCCACCTCTAGGGTTTAGGGTTTAGGGTTTAGGGTTTAGGGTTTGGGGATTACAGGTGAGCGGTTTGGGCTCCGGGCGCGGCGGTGTCCGTGAGCAGCAGGTCACCTAAACCCTAAACCCTAAACCCTAAACCCTAAACCCTCAAACACCAAATGCTGACAGAAATTTTTTATTTTTGCTTTCAAACAACAGATATAAACGCTAAACCCTAAACCCTAAAACCCTAAACCCTAAACCCTCGGTCTGCGCCGAATGTCTCCGGTGCTGTTCACTTGCAAACTGCGAGACTGCTGCCCAACCCTAAATCCTAAACCCCAAACCCTAAACCCTAAACCCTAGACACTAAACCCTAAATCTTAAACCCTAAACTCTAAACCCTAAACCACGAAGGCTGCTTTTCAATGTCAGCTTTCTAGCCTGAACAGTACCCAGTTCTCTCGGTGGTTCTAAACCCTAAACCCTAAACCCTAAACCCTAAACCCTTAACTCGAAACCCCCGAAGCCAAAACCTCGACTTTTTTCGTGCAGAGCAACACAGATTCCGGAGCAGAAGCCATGCGCTAAACCCTAATCTCTCAGCTCTAAACTCTAAACCCCAAACCCTAAACCCTAAACCCTAAACCCTGGGCTTTAAACCCTAAACCCTAAAATCTTGGCTCCAAGGAAAGAACAAAATGCAGATTCTCAGCTGCTAGCTGTCCTTTTAAAAGTTCAGCTGGTTAAGTACTGGTCACATGCTAAACCCTAAACCCTAAACCCTAAACTCTAAACCCTAAACCCTAAACCCTAAACCCTAAACTCTAAACCCTAAATCCAAACCCTAAGCATTAAAGAGAGCTGAGGGGACTTGTTGAGTCTGCTGCAGCTGCATGCAGCTGCTGCTGGAAAGGCTTGAGGACCAGCTAAATCCGTTGCTGCTGCTGCTGCAGCGGCAACTCGGCTGCTGCTGCTGCTGCGGCGGCGACTGAACTGCTGCTGCTGTTGCTGCAGCGGCATCTCAGCTGCTGCTGCTGCTGCCGTTGCTGCAGCTGTAACTGAGCTGCTGCTGCTATTCATGCAGCGGTAACTGGGCTGCTGTTGCTGCTGCTGCTGCTGCTGCAGCGGCGTCTTCACCGCTGCTGATTGCTACTGCTGCTGCTACTGCTGCTGCTGCTGCTGCTGCTGCTGCTGCGCTTTTCACTTTTGTATTTCTCACCCACTTTATTTTTTATTTTTGCTTCTCTAAGAGGGTTTATTGTCGAAAGGGTTTTGTTCTTAAAACCCTCAGCGAGCAGGTTGGGCCACGCCCAGTGCCCTTGTCTTTCCTCAGGCGCTAGGGTTTAGGGTTTAGGGTTTAGGGTTTAGGGCTTAGGGTTTAGGGTTTGGGATGAAGCGGCTGTTTCGGTTTGCTGCAAAAGAGCATTCGATGCCGCCGTCTCTCCCCTCCACGCCTTCACCCCAAGGGTCTAGGGTTTAGGGTCTAGGGTTTAGGGTTTAGGGTTTAGGGTTTAGGGTTTAGGGTTTAGACGCCGAGTTTGGTGACAGCGTGGGGCGGCTGCATGCCGATTTGCCTCCAGGCATCTCCGAGGGTTTCTTTATTTTCGGACTTTGTTTCTAAGTTTTGAATTTTAAAAATAACTTCATTTTTAATTTGCTGCATTTGTTTTTCAAAAGCAGCAGCAAGTTCCTTCTCCACTGCTGCTGGCTGCTGCAGCTGCTGCTGCAGCAGCTGCAGCACGGACTGCAGCAGCGACAGAAACTCCGCCTCCAGCGAATTGCACTTTTGCTGCAGCTCTGCGAGCAGCAAATAATAAAATAAATAAAATAAATTAAATAAATAAAATAAATAAATTAAATTAATTAAATAATTAAAAATAAAAAGAAATTAAAAGGAATTTATTAATTGATCAAAAGAAACAAGAGAGGAGAAAAGGAGAAAAAGAAAGAAGAAAAAAAGAGTTTAAATTGAGAGAAAAAGAAACGGAAACGGGCTGCAAACCCTAAACCCTAAACCCTAAACCCTAAACCCTAAACCCTAAGCCGCACCCTTCATGGCCCGCTGCGTGTCTCCGATTTCATTGTCGAATTGTTTGGCGATATGCTTCTGCTGCAGCAGCAGCTGCTGCTGCTGCTGCTGCTTCTGCTGCAGCTGCTGCTGCAGCAACTTGCTGTCTGCTGCTTCTTGCTGCTGCTGCTCTCGCAGCTGCTTCTGCAGCGCCTCTGCTGCTTTAGACCCCCATCTTTCCTTCTCCTTTAAATGCCTTTTTAGGGTTTTCAGCTGCAGACAAACCCTAAACCCTAAACCCTAAACCCTAAACCCTAAACCTTAAACCCTAAACGCTGAAAGCTAAGTGTTTCAGCATATGTAGGACTTTGCTGAAGTGCACTATTTTCTAGTTGCAAACCCTAAACCCTTAACCCTAAACCCTAAACGCTAAACCCTAAACCCTGCATTTGAGGCCGTAGGTCTTGAAGTCTTGGCGTTAATCCCGACCCTGTAAACCCTAGACCCTAAACCCTAAACCCTAAACCCTAAACCCTAAACTTTGCACTTTAAACCCTAGGCGCTAAACGTTACCCGTCAAACCCTAAACCCTAAACCCTCAGTTTGAAGCCCTACGCTGCTGAGTCCGAGTGCCAAACCCTAAACCCTAAACCCTAAACCCTAATGAGCAAAACCGAGACACTTTGTCTTGTCTCATTTCTGTCAAGGGTTTAGGGTTTAGGGCAAGCAGCGGAGTTAAATCCTTTAAGAAGGAACTGATTTAGGGTTTACGAGGGTTTAGGGTTTACAGGGAACTAGGGTTTCGAAGCTATCAGGGTTTACAAGGGTTTAGGGTTTACAAGGGTTTAGGGTTTACAAGGGTTTAGGGTTTAGGGACTGAAGGGACGTAGCGTTTTCTAGGGTTTTGTATTTCAAGGGAATTTGACTCGAAGGCAAGCTGGTCGCGGCCCGTTTCGCCGTTTCGCTCTTTTAGGGTTTAGGGTTTAGGGTTTAGGGTTTAGGGTTTAGGGTTTGGCTGGCCTCGTCCTCGAGCAGCCGCTGCTGGTGCAGAGCTTCGAACTTCTTTTCTTTTGCAAAAATTAAATCTTTTTCTTTCTTTTTAAAAAGTTCCATTAATTCCAAATTGGCTGCATGCAGCGCAGCCTCAATTTCCGCCTTCGTGGGACCCTTCTTGCTCTTCGCCATCCTAAACCCTAAACCCTAAACCCTAAACCCTAAACCCTAAACCCTAGGGGGGACTAAAACCCAAAGCACAAACCCTATACCCTGAGGTCTGGGAGTAAACTCGAGGGTTTCGTCTGCGGCTGGGAGCGGAAGCCGCAGCACGCGAGCTGGCAACGGGCTCGTCGAGGGTTTAGGGTTTAGGGTTTAGGGTTTAGGGTTTAGGGTTTAGGGTTTACGGTTAGTTCATAGTTTATTATTCAATTAATTCAACTTAATTTACTTCTGGCTAGATTGGGTGCGCAGACACACCAAAGCATGCAGCCGAATGCTCGCCGGGGCCCCCGGGCCCTAAACCCTAAACCCTAAACCCTAAACCCCAAACCCTAAACGCTAAACCCTCAACCTAAACTTCTAAGTTATCTCTAAACCGCTTTTCATTTTTGTTTGTTTCGAGATAAAAGATACTGCCGAAGTCCTGTGTCGCTCCACAAACCCCAAACCCTAGCTCTACACCCTAAACCCTAGCCTCTAAACCCTAAACCCTAAACCCTAAACCCTCAATATTTTGCTTCCCAGCTCTTAATACTAAACCATATCAGTTCTCTTTCTCCCCCAAATGCTGCAGCGAGCAACTGCTGCCCTCCTGCTTTCGGGGGCCCCCCTGGGGCCCCTCAGGGGCCCCCAGACCCCAGCAGCAGCAGCAGCAGCAGCAGCAGCAGCAGGAGCAGCAGGAGGCGTCCAGGGTCGCCGTTTCTACATGGGCCCCCGTAGATGGCCCGGCAGCAGCAGCAGCAGCAGCAGCAGCAGCAGCAGCAGCAGCAGCAGCAGCAGCAGCAGCAGCAGCAGGGGCTCCCCGCCAGCTTCTTTTTCAATCTTCAGCACAACCTCCATGGTAACTGTCCGCCCCTCTCCCCCCACCCTCGAAATGGCCCCAGGGGGCCCCCAGGGGGCCCCAGGGGGCCCCCAGGGGGCCCCCCAGCCGGGGGCCCCCCGGGGGCCCCCCAGGGGTTTATGCGGGAAGGGGGTTTTGTGTTTTCTTTTTTGCCAAAGTTGGCATCTCAAAAGACTTTCGACAAGTCCGCGAGACTGACAGTTCTTTTAAAGGCGAAGCACGTTGGCTGCCTCCTGTACCCTCTGGGGGCCCCCGGGGGGCCCCCAGGGGGGATGAGTGGGCCCTGGAGGCCCCCTGCGGGCCAGGGTACACTTTGAGGGTCAGCCCCCACTCGGGGAAGCCGCAGACACACGTTTGTATTGCGCTGCTGCAGCAGCAGCCGGAGCCGCTGCAGCAGCAGCAGCAGCAGCAGCAGCAGCAGCAGCAGCAGCAGCAGCAGCAGCAGCGGAAAGCTGTGCACTTGGTGGCCTGCAGCAGGGGCGAGTGGCTCACGCTGCAGCTGCTGATGCAGCAGTCGCTGCCGGTTTTGTTCAACTGGCACAAAGAGGCGCTGCTGGCTGCAGCGGAGGACGAAGCCAACCCAAACCCTAATTAGGGTTTAGGGTTTAGGGTTTAGGGTTTAGGGTTTGGGGCAAACAAACCCGTGGGACTCGCCCCAACACTTTTGCAAAGTTAAGAACAACTCAGCAGCCGCGGAGGCTGGCCAGAGGCGTGCATACACCCCAGACAGCGTGCTAGGGTTTAGGGTTTAGGGTTTAGGGTTTAGGGTTTAGGGTTTAGGGTTTGGGTTTTTGGGTAGTTCTCGGCGCGTTGAGCGCATCTTTAGAAAACGCGCAGAAACAGAAAAGAGATGAAACAAAAGGAAAAGAAAAGTCAAGGAAAAGGAACCCAACTCCGAAGGAAAGACAGCAGAGGCTGGGGGGTGGAGGGGGTTTCTCAGCGCCTCGGGAGCCCGAAAGAAGTGTCAAAAGCAAAATTAAATTAAATTAAATTAAATTAAATTAAATTAAATGAATTTCTTTTATTTATTTCGCATTTTCCCCGCAAAAACCTCCAAAAGTCTTCCGCAGGGGCCCCCGGAGGTGTCTGTACACCGCAGCCCTGCAGCAGCTGCTCGGCGGCGCCGCAGCAGCAGCAGCCGCTTTTCGCGGGTTTAGACCTTTCTAAAGAGCAAATTAGTTAATTTTTTTGGTTTTTATTTCCTTTTTTGACTCTTTTATTTCCTTTTTTCTCCTTTTTAGCTGCCTTTTCCCCCAGGAAGCCCCTGCCTCGCAGCCGCCGCGCGGCGGAGGGGCCCCTGCTGCTGCTTCAGGGGCCTCCCAGCCGCTTCAGGGCCTCCTCTGCTGCTTCTGCGGCCTCTGAGGGGCCCCCGAGGCCCCCCTGAGGGCCCCCAGTACCCTTTTTTGGCCCATGGCTCCCGTATGCTCCCCCACAGAGGGGCCCCCCGCCGCGGGCTCTCCTGCAGCTTTCGAGGGCCCCTCGGGGGCCCCGGAAGCGTCGGGGGCCCCCTCAGCAGCAGCAGCAGCAGCGCCGCCGGCAGCAGCAGCAGCAGCAGCAGCAGCAGCAACGGCGGACCACAAACACAAGATAAGGCCCGCAGACACTCTGCTGTCCATTGCTGCAGAGTACGGGGTGTCTATACACCAGCTCATGCGCTGCAACAATTTAAGTTCTTCCGATATTTGGTTTAAGACCCATTTGACAGTACCCTGTGACCCGCAGCAGTGCAGGCACTTTCGAGGGGGCCCCCCGGGGGCCCCCCGGGGGCCCCCGGGGCCCCCGGGGCCCCCGGGGCCCGCGGGGCCCCCGGGGGCCCCCCCGCCGCCTGGGGGCCCCGCCCCTGCGGGGCCCCCCGAGGGGGCCCCCCTAGCTGCGGCCGAGGGGGACAGTTCAGCATTAGGGCCTCGGGGGGCCCCCAATGGGGGCCCCTGCCCAGCACCGGGGGCCCCCCACAACAAGGAGGGGCCTCGGCAGAAGGGGCCCTCCGCAGCAGCCCCGGGGGGCCCCCCAGGGGCCCCCCCAGGGGGCCCCCCTGGGGGCCCCCCGGGGGCCTCCGCCCCGGGAGAGCCCGCAGCGCCCCCCGGGGGGCCCCCCGGGGGGGCCCCCGGAAGAGGAGCGAGGGGACTATTCTTTGTCGCTGGATTCGGACTTCCAAAGAAATGCAAATGTGGCGCTTTTGGTGGAGGGTTTGGTGCGGGAGGTGGACATACACCCGAGAGTGGCGCGACAGCGCATTGTGGCGCGAGGTGTACGTACACCTCAGCGGGGGCGGTTGTAACAGTAACAAATGAGAAATGATATTTATTATTTATTATTTATTATTATTTATTTATTTATTTATTTATTTATTTATTATTTATTTATTTGTTTATTTATTTAAATGAATAAAGGGGAGAAATCGAGTGGGGGTTGCGGGGAGTTTCTCGGGCCCGTCTGCGGTGTACAGACAGCTCAACACTGCATGCATGATGCAGCAGCAGCCGCAAAGCCCCGCCGCTCCCCCGTGCGCCCGAGGGTTTAGGGTTTAGGGTTTAGGGTTTAGGGTTTAGGGTTTAGGGTTTAGGGTTTAGGGTTTGTCTGTAGCTGCCTCTAGCGCGCCCGGCAGCGAGGCTGAACATTGCCGAAAGCAGCCGAACAAGACCCGAACTCACTGGCCGCCTCGCTGCTTTGCTGCTGCTGCTGCTGCTGCTGCTGCTGCTGCTGCTGCTGCTGCTGCTGCTGCAGCTGGCCTACGGGGAAGCCCTGGAGGACTGCCGGCGGCTGCGGACTCTGCAGCAAGAACTGGACTTGTCAGTTTCGGAATTAATTTCTTATTTGCTCATTTACGACCAAGACTTCGACACTGCCCAGCGCGCGCTGCTCCAAGACGCCCACTGGCACAGGCGAGGGTTTAGGGTTTAGGGTTTAGGGTTTAGGGTTTGGGGTTTGGGGTTTGGGGTTTGGGTTTAGGGTTGGGGGTTGGGGGTTGGGGGTTGG